CCCCCCCCCCCCCCCCCCGTTTTTTTTTGTTTTTTTTTTCCGGACATTTTGCACCCGGCACCGGTCCGGACTGTCCGGATCTGGTGATGTCCAGGTGTCCGGTAATGTCCGGATCACCGGACAGTCCATACTGGTCCAGACACTGGTCCGGAAGACAGTCCAGAAGTGTCCGGTGTCCGGGTCCGGGGTTACCATGCGATTTAGTGATTAGAGAGTTCTTCAATCACTGGGTTGAGGATTACGGGCACCCATTGTCAATTGTCAGCGACAGAGATAGTAGGTTCATGGGCGAGCATTGGCAGCAGTTGATGAAAGTCTATGGATCGAAATTGACAATGTCTTCCGGCGGACACCCGGAAACTAACGGCCAGACTGAGCAGATGAACAAAACTGCTTCAGCAAGTGCTTCGCATGTACATTAGACCCGATCAGATTGACTGGGATGAGCATCTCCCAAAGGTGCAGTCCACTTATAACAACTTGGTGCACTTATCCACAGCCCGTACACCGAATCAATTGCACAGAGGTTGGCAACCCCGGCGTCCAATTGACTGTCTGAATCCAGATCAGATCCAAAGATTGCCACCCCGGCGTCCAGTCCAGTCCAACAGTCCCCGAGTCCAATTTTGCAGCATGTCCCAGGAAAGTCCGGAAGGTACCGGACTGACAATATGTTTGCAGCAGGCTGGCCGCGGTTGACTGGTACGGGTCGGAAGCAGACCAAGCCAAGCCAAGCCAAGTGAAGACCAGTCCTATATTTAACTGCTACAGTGCAGCGACTCGTCACTTGTTCAGTTGCGAGATGCGGAAGCGCTGCTGCTGCTTGTGTGTTACGCCAACTTGGGCACTGTGCGGCTGATTAAGAAGGGGGCGCCCGAGAGTTAGTCCATAGCCAGGTTAGACATAGCGCAGGAGGACGGCAGCCATAGCCGCCAAGGTGTAAGATACCTGAGTGGGCTCATCCAGGGTAACGATCCAGGGTTGTGAGAGGCAGAGAGAGAGAGAGAGACAGGGGAGAGGGAAGTGGGGGAAGCCATACCCGCTACTTGGGTGACACTCGCTGTGTGACCAGTCCTATATTTAGCTGCTACAGTGCAGCGACTCGTCACTTGTTCAGTTGCGAGATGCGGAAGCCGTGCTGCTGCTTGTGCGTTACGGCAACTTGGGCACTGTGCGGCTGAGGAAGAAGGGGGCGCCTGAGAGTTAGTCCATAGCTAGGTTAGACATAGCGCAGGAGGACGGCGGCCATAGCCGCCAAGGTGTAAGATACCTGAGTGGGCGCAACCAGGGTAACGATCCAGGGTTGTGAGAGAGAGAGAGAG